AAATTCATTCGCCTTCGCAACCACTTCCGCCTTCGACTTGGAACATCTCCAAACCGTGACATTATCATCGTCTTCATCTTTTCGTTTTCTATTGTCTTGTATCCTAACGGCTAACTTCCTCTCTATTGACAGCGAAAAATCCTTTGGTTTCTTCCCCCATACGATCACTTATGTAATGTGAATGTTTCTCCACTCCATCTTCCATTCAAAGAGTGGAAGAATGAAAGAGACGACAAAATCATCGAGACACTCCTTCGCGGCGTCCTCAAATACCGTAATCTGTCATGAGATAGTTAGAGATGTGACCCGATATTATAGAGATGTGATCGATAAAACAAAACGATATTATTTATTTTGGAGATTTTATCGGATAAAGTGGATTTATTCAGAATTAATCTAAAAGTTTCGTCCCCCTCCGTTTTGGATGTTTTTTTAGGCGTAAATGAGCCTTGATTTTGATGTTCGTTTCGATGAGCCAAGAATTGGTCAACTGACATGGTTAAGTGCATGTCTCAATGCGAGGAAATCTGTTTAGCGCAAATCGTGGCCCTGCACGTTGTCGATAGTTCGAATCTGATGGCAACATGAAGGCTGATGTTTCCAACTCAGGATGATCGGCAACAAGACTTATCAAAAACCACTAAGAACCGGATGCAATATGGTCATTGCATTATGAACTAACTATCAAACGATAAAAAATGATAATTCATTCATTCAATCCCAGTCAGCGCCGCCGGGATGTTCTGAGACATAACAACTCTTCTAGATTCCGTCGATCTCCAGGTCGATCTTGCTTTCCGTGCTGAGCACCAATGCTACCGACGCCAGGGAGGCAGCTCCCACACCTGGACCCTACCTATCGACTCATCAACTCATGAACCGGTAACCAACGGCTTTACTTCCCATGAATTCTATCAGAAAGAGAATTCCAGTTAGTTACGTTGGTCATGACCAATAAGAAAGTGTTCCAGGGATATTAAGGAATAGTTTCTGAAAGATATCTGATCATTTGATCAGGTTGTCTCTAATGTATCGTCGAAAAAAGGGAATTTTTAAATAATATTAATTTTTATTTTAATCACCGGTAAATTCTATCAGAAAGTGAATTCCAATTGGGTACGTTGGTCATGACCGACCGATCAGAAAGTTATCAAGGCATTTCTCATGATGAAGTTTTCTACACGGTAAGAAAAAATACTCAAAATTAAGTTAAAAAAAAACTCAACGTTGGGTTCTATCATTTGAGGTCCGCCGTTGAGTGAATCAGAAAAGCGGCGTTGGTTAAAATTTACTCAACTATTGAGTAATAATAAATGAACTCAAAAATAAGTTTATTTTCATTGAGGTTGCTTTTATGCGCCTTTAACCATTTCATTTTCACAAGCGTTGAGAGACGAGTGGTCAACACACGGGCCCCGTAATCTCAACGTCCATGGTTCGGTTCCAGTCTGCTCCGTTTTATTATTTTTTTGTCAACTTGGTCAACGCCAGGATTACTCAAAATTGAGTTTTCTTCTTTAACTTAATTTTACCTGGCCCCACGGAAGCCACGTGATGAGTGAAAGGAACTCAATTTTGGGTACTTTTTTCTTACCGTGTAAGCAGCACCATGCGTCTCCATCAGTGCTGATAAAAATCATTCCTTCTACACTCAACATAGCTGAAAATGAAGACAACCTTAACAGATCGACCAACTACTTGCATGAATCTGAATTTTGACAAAACAACATTCTCTTGATCAAGGCAACCTTTGAGTATCGTAGTCAACATTTATTTTTCTTCATTCGTGGCTGGATGTTCATTATTGCCTCCGTTGTTGTCAATATTAATATTCATCTTCATCTTGGTGGGGGTAGGCCGGCACCGGTGGTGTAGTGGTAAGCGTGACTGCTTTCTAACACCCCAATGGGTCTGGGTTCAATCCCAACCGAGGTCGGTGGGATTTTTCTGAGGTATAAAAATCTCTGGTCACGTCTTCCTTCGGAAGGGAAGTAAAGCCGTTGGTCCCGGCCCATGTGTGTGTTGATGAATGGGTGCGATATCCTACGCAGGTGTGGAAGCTGCCTTCCTGCACATTCGATTGTCGTCAATGGATGGCAATCGATGCCCGTCGGTGATTGGCACTAGATTGCGGAACAGAGACCGACGTTAAATAAAGGAAAATGTACAATCTTGGTAGGGATGATTTTGAGGATCAAATGCAAATTTTACTCAAATTTAGCGCTGAAGGACGTATAGTGTTAGTTTTTACACACAAACCGATGGCAAATTATTGCCTCAAGCTGAACTGATGGTAAAATCCCGGTTTTAGGCTTTGGAGTCGACAATATTCAAAATAATCATTTTGCCCAAAATGAATTTGATTATTTTGCTTTTGAGCAGTGCTGTAAATTCTCAAAATCATTTGAACATTTTTGATGAAAATGAGAAAAGTAACTATTCGCTATCAAAAGGGACCTCCTCCGAATGGATGATATCAGTTGCTTAGTCATTTGACGAAGGCATGGATCATTCTCATTTGAGAAACGCTATATATCATTCAATTGAGTGTATCCTACACACAAACGGAGCTCTGGTCGACATTCCGGCGAAAAAGCTAAGCCAACCCGACACCAACCTGACTTCTATCAAACCCCAACCCGATGTTGACCCGACATTGACCCGACATAAACTCAAAATTGACCCGACAACAACACGACATTGGGTCGACATCGACCTTAAATTAGCCTTACATTGATCCGACATCCGACTTGTCTGTTCGGGCCCATTTTGCTGGATTTCTTCCATACTCCACTTTCTTATATCAAATGATACTGAGTGACTCAATTGACAGTGACAATGAGCTTCGAATGAGAAAGGGGCTTTTCAAATTATGGTCATGTGAGAATTCGTTTAAACAGAATTGATTGAATGGTTGTAGTGGTTCATCTTCAATCGAATGATATGAAAATTTACAGCACTGCTTTTGAGGATCATTTCTGATTTTGACAATTTTGGGTTGGATAATCAAACACTGGAGAATATCAACAAACGCGTACTCGTTGATGTATAATGAACTCATTCGCTCATTTCACTCGTACGTAACAGCGAAGATTTTCAAAACAAACGCAATTCATCTACACTGGGTTGAAGCGATACTCCTTGCGTGTGATGGTAAATGATAAAAACAGACACTGGTCTCCATAATTATTCATTAAATTAACGGTTTTGTTCGAAATTAGTATATTTTTAAGGGATGCAAATAAAAAAAAGGTTCTTGGTCCTCAAATTGGCTAGAATGCACTTAAGTATAATGTTTTTTATATGAAATCAGGCTAAAATTTTCCGATAAATCCAATTCCGTGCCCAGAATTTATATATAAACCGATTTAAAAAGTTTAGTATAAGCATTTAAGTGAAAATAAAAGGTACGTTAAAAATGAATTACAGATTCGTAAAGTACGCATTTGGTACGCAACATTTCCGTAGGAATCTGGTCGATCGACTTGGTCATTGCTAAAATCGTATGTCTATACAGAGGGACACGGGTTTTCCGGGAAGCTTTGAGGTACGCTCAAAATCCTTGAAGGTACGCTATGATACGCTATTGGTACATTCCAAAACACGTATCAACCTTGAAATTCGTTAAGTTTGTCCCGCTGGATAGATTGACATAGTTTAAATGCTTCATGCGAATGAGTTCAAACACCCAACCGCGAAGATTCCCTTGCGATTTTGTTTGAAAGATATGCGAAATCAATAATAAAAAATAACCGCATATACAGATGCTGTAACAAACATTACATTTATGGTAAGGAATCACACACAGAGATCGCCGTCAGTCCTGCAATTTTTCATATGATATTGTAACATTTTTCTTTACTTTATTAGAGAGACTTTCAGCGACATTTTAACATTTGCATAACACCAAAACCATCATTCCACAGCATAACATTAGAAGGCTTTGTGGAGGTTATCGAACGACATTACTCCCAGTATCTATCTAATCAACTCATGTGGTAGGACTTTCCCACCATCCACTTATTCCCATAGTTTATCTCTCCATCCGTTAAAATTCGTAAGCTACCACCGAAAAAAAAAAATGATTCGAGGAACCGGCTGCTGCTATGATGTTCCACCCCAGTTCCGAGCTAACTCTTCATCAACAATAAAAACATATAGCAACACAACGGAGCAGTAGGTGAGCGCCGCCATTAATTAAATTAAAATCTCACCTTCTCGACGGTTTTTGTTTTGTTACCGCACTAGTAGACCCCATCATCAACAAAGCAACACATTTGTATTTTTGGTAGAAGAAAACCTTCGATTTCCGCGGGTGCAGGTGCGAAAGCGAAAAGCTAACAGCCCTGACAATGAAAAAGAAAGTTTTCTTCTTTGAGTTTTGTTTTTTTTTTTCGTGACTATAACTAGACAACGAAAAACTGTTTTAGTTTATATCATGATGGAGTAGACACCTTCAAGGTTATTATAGGCACTATGAGGGTGATGATAATATTGATTCGATTAGGTGTGACGACCAAAGGTTTGACCGTTGCGAATCGACGCAGTAGGCGACGACACGAGCGAAGTAAAGATAAGAGGAATAACATGATGACGGGGAGAGCTCGTGGTGGTCGTTGTAATGTGGTTGGAAACCAAACCATTAGTTCAAGTTCCGTTACGAACATTTTCGTAAATTCCAACAGAAGCATGCTCGAAAAACCATTGAACTCGATTCAAATCTCATACACAAGCAACTGCAATGACTTCCCAAACGCAGACATCAATTTAAGCTACCAAAATCACAGACAGACAAATAATTTACGGTTTCTTAATCATGGGCTCCTAGCAACCTTCCTAGTAAGTCATTCCAATAACCGATTTCTGTTCATTATAAACGGATCTATGTTTATGCCTGTCGATGTAACTTTGCATCGTAATTCTTAATCTAGTTGTAGTAAATTTTTGTCCCAACAAAATACGATAAGAGTCCAGCATCAGGGTTATCTACTGCCACTTACCTTCCAAAAATACTGGAATAGTCATTGTTACCACAATTTCGCGTCCTCCTTGATCCTGTTCAGCTGTCGTCCGCTGTCACGGCTTTTAAAAATCCTGTCACGGGACTCCCACTTCCCAAAGGACAGTCAGTCTGTGTTTACACGAAATTGCTGCAGCTGTGAGCACTGAGAACGCCTTCACAACTGTCAACAACTCTCTCCTCGGAAGAGAAAGAGTATCCTTGTTTTCTTCGCTCTCTCACTCTCCCATACTTTCTCTCTTTCTCTCTCTGGAAAGGAGTATCCTGTTTATTCCTCCTGCTGCTGCTGCTCCTGTTTCAGCTATTGATGTTATTGCTGTGCACTGTTACCGTGTGTTTCGTGCGAGCTTTGTTGGTGTAGTTGCTATATCGGAAAATTTTCACTGGCTTTTCCTTATGCACACGGGACGAAGACGACGGGGACTGACGCACCACACCTTTTTTTGGCGTGTGGGGTATTTCATTACAATTTTTTCATCCTATTTAAATTCAATCAACTAGCACGCCACTTCTATCGTAGCAGGACGATTGCATTTCACACCCATCCTTAAATCACGAACTGCGATATTTTCAAACACTTCTAGCCAGGGAAAACTTTCACTTAGCACGAAAATTGATTTTTCGCCTGACCCATAGCATATTCACAGCTTTTCCCTCATCGGACATACTGGTTTTCTATCGAACAACGAGCCTCTTATTTCACTAAATCCATTCGTTTGACTTGCATTGCCGGACCGCGATCAAAGTAAGTTTCCCGTTTTGCACGCGCGTTCGATGGAGGAAGATCAATTTTTTCACTTTTATTCACGCATCCATTTTTGCAGCCATCATCACTTCCTCCCTTTGACAGCAGCCAGGCAGCAGGCGACGGACACGGACGACTACGATCAAAAGGGATACGCGTTTCTAGGAGGACTGGCGACTGATACAGTAGGCGACGACCGCGATAGTCGAGAGAGGATATTCAAAGCGTACATAAAACAAGGACGTGTCACACTGGCAGCTGGGAGAGAGAAAATGAGAATTTTCCTACTTGTCCCTTTTGCTCAACCGTTCGCCCATGGTAAGAACAGCATTACAAAAATATGGTCTGGTAATTTTATGCTCCAAAACAGAACACGACAACGACGACGACGATGACGACGGGAAAAATGATACACCAACCGAAACTAACAGACGTGTTTGTATTTACACAAGTCACCGTTAGCACTTTGTGCCCCGAAGTAGAAGAAGCAGACAGTCTGGAAGTGTTGTAGACCCCTCCCAGCTGATATCACACACCAAACCGTACACCCGAGGGATGTCCGTTCCCGTCACGAACAATGACACGCACGTCTACACCGGACGAAAGCTAACTGGAGACTGAAGGATGTTTGGTTTGCGAATGAAGCGAGAGCATAAAAGCTTCGATATGTTCTCTCGATTACCTCCCGTCTCAGTAACACCCAGCCCCCAGCCCAGGTCCACCAACCGCCAGTGATCAGTGGGAGAGAGCATAGCGGGTGGATTGCGCTTGGTTGACGAACAACCAAAGCAAAACGGATTGGCGAAGAAAATCCATCAAAACAAAGAGTGCGCTGCGATGTCGAAAATATAGATGGTGCTGGTGGATATGTGCATTGACAGGGTGGTTAATAAAAATTCTGGTCTCAGAAATTTTACACATTCACCCAACTGAACAGCCCCTTACACGTTTAAGCTATTTTATACACACACAAAAACTTACAATCCAATGCAACTGTCAACCGCCCCCGGCCAGCTGCACTTCCTTTGTGAATCTGAGATGGTAAGGAAATCAAACTCGTAGATTCCTCGTTCTACAAAAAAATGTATGATTAGTAAATGGTGTATGATGACGAAAATAAAACAACTTATTATTCAGAAAATTCAACAAATCCAATGGAATTTGCAAATCTAGCAACCGGTCGTCAGCAATGCACCGTTCGGACGCCATGTTAGGTTTTGTTTGTGCCATCACCACTCAGAAATTCATGTAGAATCTAAGTGAAATTATCTTACATGAAATTCATTTAAAATTTATATATACTTCAGCTTGCTGCTTTGGTTCTGGGCGAAGGATTCAAACTGGTCTATGCAGATGATTTAAAGCTGTACATTTGGTGTGCACACAAGAAGATTGTTGGCTTCTGCAAAACTCGCTGACTTTGTTTGCCGATTGGTGCCAGAGAAACAAACTCACTATTAGCGTGGAAAAATGTCAGTTAATCACGTTTAATCGCATGGTACATCCAATTTTGTTTGACTATCATATCGACGGCGATACTCTTACCAGAGTTACCAGTGTGACTGATCTAGGAGTTCAACTTGACACAAAAATGACTTTTGATTTACACCGTTCAGCGATCATATCGAAAGCAACGCGACAGTTGGGCTTTATTTCCAAAGTTGCGAAGGATTTTTCGGATCCACATTGTTGGAAGTCATTGCACTGTGCACTTGTCCTTCCAATTTTGGAAAAATGTGTCCGTCGTTTGGCATCCTCACCATGTCACGTGGTGCCTAAGGATCGAACGGGTTCAGAAACGGTTCATTCGTCTGGCACTGAGAAACTTGCCGTGGAATGATCCTGATAATTTGCCACCGTATCCTGATAGATGCCGACTGTTGGGCTTAGACACACTGGAACAACGACGGAAAGTACAGCAATCGTTGCTTATTGCTAAGCTGTTGAATGGTGAAACTAATGTCCCCGACCTGCTTGCGATGTTGAACTTTCCTGTGCCGAGCAGATCTCTTCGGAATACAACGCTACTGCAAGCAGCGTTGCCAGCTCATTTTCATAAAAGTCTGGACCAGTTAAAATATAAAATCTGGAAAAATCTGGAAGGCTAAAAAAAATCCTGTTTTTAGCATAATGCTATTGAAATCAAAGTGATGTGCCAATCTCTTGTATAATTCGGTCAGTATGATCATCTGAAATTTATTCAAAGTACCAGAATGTTTATGAATTACATGTTTAAATAAATTAAATAAAACAAATAACTTATTAGCATTGCTTAAATCTTCTAAAAGTTAAGAAAAGTATTGACACAGTGTGTCCAAAATGTTTGAATATCCATTGCGCAGCATTTCAAAAATTGAGTTAAATCGTTGGTGAAATACAGCAGAAAATATTTTTAGAATTTCTTTTTAAATTGTAACTTTTTTTAAAAAGAATGAAAAGCAAAGAATCAAGCAACTTTGATGGGATGGATTTTCTAAAACTAATAGTAGATGTAGTCCTTACTTTTTGATGCAGTACCATAATATGTCTTAAAGATTTTAATAGTTCTAAATAATTCTAATATAACCCTGAGGTTGATCAGACTTACAATGTAATTCTTGACATCATAGTAGACAGTAGGTAATTTTATTTTAAAGTAAGATTCACCATGCTGAAGTGGAAATCAAAGCCTAACATCGAGGTATTCACACACAGTTTACCTAAACTACAGGTAACTCAACTGTTTACATTAATATTACGAATAATTTTATTATATAACTAAAATGAAAGTCTGAAAGCGGAATTTATATATTTCCTGGGTTCCAGATCATGAAACTTTTTGTTAGTCTGAATTTACATGGAAATCTTTACAAGATATCTTCGTCCTTTTTTCGGAGTTCATCAGAGTTCCATCATATTTCTTTTCTGGATTCCCCTAAAATAATCTTGATAATATCCAAACGTTTTCAGTAACATTCAAAGAGTTCTCTTGTTATCTCTTATAAATCACTCTCCGATTCCAGAACTCCCTCAAACTAGCAATAATTTGCAAGAATTGGCATAATTTTGTTCTCATCTTTTTTTATGAAATTCCATTAGAATATTCTTAATAATTTCTTTGTCACACTCTTCAGAATGACCGTCACACTATTCTCAGACTTATACGATAATTCCCTTTGAGCTGCTTCGTAAGTAAGGTCAGAATTTTTTTGAAATCCTTTTCAGTTTTTGCTAAGTACTCAAATACTTTGCCAAAATAGCTCAGAAATTTCCAGATGTTCTTTTGGCACAATTCCGATTAAATTTCTCAAAATTTTATAAAAATGAATCTCCATAAAAACATAGAACAGAATTCCATTGAAATTATTCTCACGATTCGTATCAGCATACTCCTTAAGTTTCATCATAAGAACTTGCTTTGATTTCTCTTCTGAATTCTATTTCCATTCTTCACAAAATCTCCATGCAATTGTCATCAGAGTTTTCAAAAGACAAGTGACACTATCTTCAACCGGAGGTTGCACAGACTGAAAACTTAACACTAGAAAACTGACAACACACCACACCCAGTAGACCAGTAAGGAAATTTTCAGGTTGCGAAAAGTTCCACTGGCTGGAGCGGGAATCTAACTCTCACTTCGTGGCACACACAATACGCCTGAAGGACGGGTGACACCGCACGACCACGAAGCTTACAAAGATAGATGGAACTCTACTCAGAATCAACTTGAAATTCTCCTTTGGTTTCGCAAAGAATTTGCCTCACACTTCACTGTAAACTATTTTCAACATTACCTTAAAATTCTGAAATTCTAGGGCAATTCAGAATTCTAAAGAGATTCAGACTGCTGTAACTCAATATTCACCGGTACTTTAAAAAATGCTAAAAATTATCAGATGCCTTTCAAATTTTCCTTATGAATTATCCTCAAAAATCTCACAAACATACTTCAAAGTCCTGGTGGTTGTCTAGATTCAAATGCCTTGCTAATTTTCCAAGGCTGAATTTATTGTTTTCAATCCTGAACAGTTTTCGATTTCTCTAAATTAAAAAAATACAAAAATTCCTCCATATTGAAATTTTGATTTTTTTTTAAATATATAAAATATATAAAAATTCCAATTAAACAAACATTCAGGCCCACTATTTTATAAAAGTTTGAAGATTTTAATCAGCGAATAATCTTTAGAAAATGGCTCCATTTCCATGATTCTGCAACCCATTAACATGCAAACATGTTGTAACAATTGCATGTACGATGTTGTAATAATTTCCAACGTTGATGGCCTTTAATAATTAATGAAGCAGTTTTTATTTTTTGATTAGAGTGTAAATCTATTGCAATGATATTTTTAAAGCAACATGTTTGAAAAATCTGGGAAAATCTAGAACACATTTTAAAAATCTGGAAATATACGTGATCTGTCTGTGTATCTGGCCGGATGACCGAAAATCTGGAAAATCCAGATAAATCTGGAATACTGGCAACGCTGACTGCAAGCAAGTTTTCACCGAACCAAGTTTGGGAACAACGAACCCATCTCAGCGTGTATTCGTGCGTTTACGGCTATCGAAGAGTTTTTCGAGTTCAATAAACCAACCGAACGTTTTGCAAATCGGATTAGTCTGTGTTAAATTAGCTCTAATTTTATTCATTAAGACTAAATTGTCAGATGAATTATTTTAAATGCAAATACAAATACAAATCTAAGTTTCAAAGCTTATCACATTGCTTTTAATATGATTTGTAATGTATTTTATTAACGTCATGTACTTTTCAGTTAATTTATAATATCTGAAGGTTACGTGTTTTTTCCAGTGAAATTTATGTGACAAATTTTTTGAGTGTTTATCATCCCGGCTAGACCTGTGAACCGCCGCGCCACAGTGTTAGCGAAAGTTGTATTTTCTATGCAAACTTTGACAAAACTTAATTTCAGGGTGACCACTGACTTTTCATTTTGAAATTCCCGGATTTCCCGGTTCAAATCTTAAAAATTTCCCGGTTGTTAATATTCAACAAAAAATGAAATTATACGCATTTTTTAAAACGCGGCTAACGAACTGTTAATTTTCTGAGGATATTTGTGGGAAAAATAAAAGCAAAATTACAGAAAGTATTTTCTAAACCCTAATAAAAAATAACCATAAACGAACGATAACCCAAATAATAGAACTATTCCATAAATGGTTTGGATGATACCCGGAACACGTCGTTAAGCAAAATAACCATAACAATTTTATTAGGGAAGCTAAAGGAAAAATTCAACTCTATGAGTCACTTAACGTATTCAAAACAATTTATTGATCTTTCGAGATGCTTTGCAAAATCAAATTCTACCACTTTTTATGCTCGATACATCTTGATTTCAAAGCCCTAGAATTTATTGAGTAACAGAGATTAAGGTCACTTGGCCAAATGCTATCTGGATGAATAGGTTATAAGACAGAATTATGAAGAATAAGAGATTAAATTTAAAAAAATAAATTAAATACAAATGAGAATTAGAGCAAGTTGATAGGGATATCGGATAAAGAAAATGTGTCTTCTCTCCGTTGTCTATACTAACATAAATATAAACCTTTCAGCACTCGCGCTGATGTACAAAGTTAAACACACAAAAATATGTAAAACCTACTGACGTT